TCTCCACATAACAGCCAGGGTGATTGTTTAAAAATCTACATCAGATCGAGCATCTCTTGTTTAATACCTTCCAGTGGCTTCTCATCACCTTTGGAGTAAAGTCGTCACCATGACCCATAACACTTTAAGATTTATTTGGTCCTGGAAAATTCTCCCACCTCTGTGTCTACCACTTCGATCATTCCACTGCAGCCACATCATTCTTCTCACTGGTCCCCTAAACAAACCAAGCTAACTCCTGCCCCCAGGGCCTTTGCACATGTCTCCCCTCTTCCAGGAATGCTCTTCCCCAAAAAACCGCATAGTCTCATTTTTTTTCTTTTGGGTCTCTCAAAAGTCATCTCCTTAGAGAGGCCTTCCTTAACTACCCTATACAAAATATTTCTTCTCCCCCATGGTACTTATCCTTAGCTGACATATATTTGATCTTTTTCTTGGTTATTGTCTATCTTTTTTACCAGCATCTAAATGCCACGAGAGCACAGACTTTGTCTATTTTGTCTGTTTCGCTGAATGCCTAGAACAGTACCTGGCACAAAATAGGTGTTTAATAAATACAGGTGGAATGACTCCACAAAGGCTTCAACATGCCTCTAATCCCAGTTTTCATCAGCCAACACCTGAGTTTGACTTCCTCGAATACTGAATGACTTCTAGATACCTATCTTCGGGTTGGACCTCTTATCTGAATTCCAGGCGCACATATCCAATTGTTTACTATATCTTCACTTAGATTCTCAAAGACTCCTTAAGAGGATCATCACACAGCCTTATTCTTGTCTCTTCACCCTGTTTCCACACACCGAGTCCCCTCCCAGTGTTTCCTGTCTCAGTGAATGGTGTCTCCACTTCCCGCATACGCCAGACATCGGAGGGTATTTCTTACAATCTTCTTTCCTGCCTTCCTCCATTCTATTTATCACCAAGGCCTGTTCTATCTCCACACTGACAACCTTTATCCAAACTACCAACATTTCTCTCTTGGACTACTGCAATAGTCTCCTAACTGTCTTCCCCATGTCCACCTCTGGGCCCTTCCATCTGTCTTCTACACAGTAGCCAGTGTGATCCTTTAAAGTGCGCCTAGGATCATGTCACTTCTGTGCTTGAACTTGTGGTTCGCTTCTCTTAGCTCTTAGGATAAAGATCAGAATCTTTAACACTGCTTCTGTAAACAGAGTGGATATTCTACCAGGACATGCTAATACAGCTTTACAGGTTTGTTAAAAGCTAAAATAATTCCATTGCTCTTGGTCAATAGCCATTGCCTCAAGCTCTTAAGTACCCCCCCCTCTCCCCACTGCTGCTGTTCTGGCCAGTTTGTTCCCTCCCCAAGATCCTTCTCCTCAATCAGCAATGACAAGGCTAACATGTGGCACAGCAAGCAAACATACCCTTGTGCACACAATATGCACAAACTGTTTGGGCCCTAGGGCACACTGTCCCAGCTATAGACTGTTGTGACTATCACTCCCGACTGTAAGATGCAGCACGATCCCAAATTTACCTCTTCAGCCTCATGTGGTCCCTCTTGCTCTCTGCACTGCAATCACTCTGGCCTTCCTTAAACTCTCCATGCTTTTCCCTGCCTCAGGGGCTTTGCACAGGCTGTTCTCTACTATCGGAATGTTCTTCCTTTCCTTTACCTCATTTATCCCTTTAGCTTAACTATCTCTTCCACACAAGTAGCCTTCTCTGACCTTCAACTCTAAGTCAAGTCTTTCTTATATATTCTCATAAAAACCTATACCTTTCCTTCACAGTGCCTAACATAGTTTGGTTTGCATATCTATTTATGTGACTATTTGATGAATAGCTTTCATTATCACTATAGTTCAGAAAGGATGAGAGCTGAACTTATGCCCTCATAAGTTCTCTTTTTCTTTTTTTACTACTAAATCCCTAAGGCCCAGCACTCCATATACACGTAGAGATGAACAGGAAGACACTGGCTAAAGACAATGGGTCTAAAGCATGAATGATGCTTGAATAAATAAAAGAATCCAGCATTCACATATAGATTTTTGGTGCATGCATGTATATATGTGTGTCCTTATGTGTGAATTTGCTCTTTCCTATAACTATAATGATGATGATGATGACGACGATAAAAATGAGTAGATATAATCTATGCAATAAGGAAATTGCCCTGAATATTCAGATGTCTCTTATATAAGCCAAGAGTTCCTCTTTTCACACTACTTAGAGTAATTACTTCCTATTATGGCAAGCAGCACGTGCTCTTTCCACAAAACATACTATTTGAAAGTGTGTTACTTATATAAGGATCAGCGTTTGCTATATTACTGCTATCACAGTCCACCAGCTCACAAAGCGCATTCTCAAGCTATGACCCCCAGGCCAAGAGCCTGTTTTTATCTCCTCAAAACAACGAATGCATGTTTTAAAGAGAAGAAAGCTCTAGTGCCATTACAGGCTAGCCCTGTGAACATTATCAAGCAGCAGCATTGTCCCTATGGGTGCGCTAATGTGTTTAATGAGGGCATAAGTTCAGCTACTATGGTCCTTTCCCCATTACCCACATGCTCCACTCCAGAGCAAAAGCCATAATGCCCTGTAAAACGAGAATGAGGCTCGGACAAAACCGGCACCCCCCAGGGGTGACCCATCTGCAGCTCCCTGCCTCTGCGGCAGTCACAGAACGCAAGACAAAGACCAACAGGGCCCAAGATCTGGAGGGTCAGGACTAAACCAACAGCGAGGGGCTTTGCGCTATAGTGAATCCTTCCTCTGACTCCCCTGACATTCATTTCCTTGCTAGCAGCAGTCTGCTCTCTTAAAGAAAGAGGCTGGTCTTAGCCAGGACTGCATTCTCCATTCTGAGGTCTGAGCCTCCCCTCAGTCTCCAGCAGGGTAAGCGGGACCTGTCCCTGGTGCTGAGCTGATCCATCGATAGGAAATGGTGTCAATAATGTGCAAATAATGCCTGGGTGCCTGCTGTTCTCCTAGCCTGAGATGAACCGAGGAGGTGCTCTGAGGAGAGACGGAAGAGGAACAAGCCAGTTACACCCAGGGCCTCACCGACAGGAGACCAATCAGGACAAAGCCATTCCCTGGGTGTCATCAAAATCTTCCAATTTCACACTGAAAATGAGCCCTGGCTCGAGGCTTATGAACGTTCAGTCGTCCCCATTTCTGCTAAATGGATTCCTTTGAGAGCTGGCATCTTAACCCTTGAAAGGCCTCTGGAGGCTTGGTACTCCCCAACCGGGAACTGCACTGCGGAGAAACATGTATCTGGATTTCTGCAGCCCCAGCCTAAACAAAGGAAGCCTCAGAAATGGCCTCTCTCCACCAGGAATTCATCTCCAGTGGAGAAAGAGAACAATTTCCCCACCTGGGGGACTGGAAACAATAGGGCTGCAACTCCTACAGCTGTTTCCAAGTGCAGTGTTCAGCCAGCTCCTCGGTCCCCTCTCCTAAGCCACTCTGACTCTAGGACTCTTACTCTGCCCAGACTTTGCTCCCATTGGCTCTTCCCATGAAAGAAAGGGGTTCAGAGTTTCCATCTGCAATCCAAAGGTCAACCTTTAGCTCTGCACGTTTGGTGAGAATCACTGTAAATGTCCTTAGGTACGTGTTGGCATATTTGGACAGAGGGACAAAAAAAGAGGAGGAGGGCTTGCTCGTCCCCATCCAGTTTGGAACCTCAAGTTCAGTCCGCCTCATGCTTCCTCTCCCCTCTGCAGTTCACAGCCAAGGGCGTATGCTTCACATCACACAACTACTTCTGTTTCCTATCACCCACCACGGGCTCAGTCGTCTCTGATCTTTTAGCTGTGAATTTACACCACAGAAGACCAACTGAATGCAAATGGGGCCTTGGCCCATGGAGAGAGAGCAAGTGGTATTTTGCATTTGAAGCAAGGTGAATGGAGCAGAGGGACAGAGGCACATTGCCTTGGAAGTTAACCTGCATTCCGGGAATTTGCCCCCGCTGGCCTGTAAAAGTCATCCAGCCCATGGCAACATGATGGACATTATGTTATATGAAATAAGCCAGTCACAAAAGGACAAAGAGCTGGGGGGAGGCAGGAATGGGAGTTATTGCAGTTTCAGTTTTGCAAGATGAAAAGAGTTCTGTGGATGGATGGCGGTAATGGTTGTACAATAAGAATGTACTTAACGCCACTGAACTGTACACTTAAAAATGGTTACGATGGTAAATTTTCTGTAATGTGTATTTATTTCACCACAATTCAAAACAATTTTTAAACGGTTAAAATGGTCAAAGAAAAAAAAAAAAGCCAAGTTTATTCTAAATTAGAAACCGAATTAGCATGTGTACCTGAACAACTTAATTGGCTGGCAAAAACAAACAAACAAAAGTGTCCTGGCCACAAGCCCAAGCCACACCCCTTTTCTCTTTCTATTCTGTCAGTTCCTAGAGCTCTGGTCTGACTCTGCCCTCCAAGCAGTCCTGCATACATTCAGTTTCATCACTACCCGCCTCTGAAACCAAGCCCCTGTCACTTAACACCAGAAACCTCCAGAGAAGCCTTTTAAGCCACGTAGGTTCTCATCTGAGCCAGTCTCACCTTTGTCAACACCCTGTAAGCGAGTCCTCATCACTATTTCTCTCTCAGCCCACTGAGAAGGCTCAAAGGCTGCTGACAGACAAAGGAGATTTAATGTCATCCCTGACATAACATCCTTCAAAGGCCCTTCCTTGTGCCCACTTTCAAAGACCACATATTCTAAGACCACAGCAGGGACCAACGGCAACTTCTAAAGGAAGAGGCCGCAGGGGATGGAGCCCGGGCCAGCCCACAGTGCTCAGGCATCAGCCCTTCTCTGTGGGGCCCTGGACTATGGCAGGGATATGAGCAACGAGGTTAGGGTCTTCAGCAGGTGGGAGCCCTGGGGGTTTTTTGAGGCCACTGGAAAAAGGTTAAAAGAAGTGGATTAAAACTCTCAGGGAATGGCACCAGGAAAGAGCCACTCTTCAGTGACCACATGCCTGTCCCCATCCCACTTACCTGGTTACAGGTGTTAATGTCTACCCCATTCCGCAGGTGATCCAAAGCTTTGTCCAAGTTACCTGATCTTGCTGCCCTGAGAAAGCTGGTAGCAGCATCGGCCTGTGAGGAGAAACAGTGGGCTGTGAGTATATTCTGTGTGGTAACAATCTTGCAATCCCATTTGAGCCCAGGGCTATGAAAAGGGGTTGAGGTCATGGCAGCAACCTTGCACCCTCTTGTTACCACACCCTGGTGCCCATCATGGTATCCACATGTGGTACGGGCCCTACAGCCCCTGGTGGGACTGCTCTAGGGTCTGTAAAGAGGCTGCCTTCAAGCCCAGCCTCCCTTCCTTTTGGTTCTTTTATGAGTAAGCATTCTTGGCTAGGACCCATGAGGAACCCCATTCAAAGCCTGGTGTCTTACTGCCTTGATGTTTCCAAGAGCTCCACGTCTTTAGTGAGGAGCCTATATCGTGTAGCCCCTGGCACCAAGTGAGCCACAGAGGCAGTCACCACAGGAACTGAACACATGCTCTCTGGTGCTATCTCGTGGTTTTGTTTTTTAAGAAAACAGCACGTAGCATTTACTGTGTGCTAAGAACCATTATCAGCACTTTACATATAATATATATTTATACACACGCAGATATACATTTAATCCTCATTTTAAAAAAACCCAAGATAAGTACTATTGTGGTCCCCATTTCACAGATGAGGGAACCAAGGCACAGAGAGCTAAAATGACTTGTGCAGGATCACACGGCAGGTAAGAGGAACAGCCAGGACTCCAATGAGGGTCCAGCTCTGAAATCAGTGAGATTAACCTCCTTGCTTTGCTGCCACCTTAATGTGAACTTTAACTCAAAGGTGCCTCTCGTCTTGAATGAGAGTAAAAGCACTTCAGTTACATGGTTGTTGCTCAGCCACCTACACCAACATATCAAGACATTGCCGCCAGGAACATTTGTTTGTATTAAGGATGAATGACAGCCAGAAAGAGTGAGAGAGACAATAAAATAAAGTCAACGAATGCAAACAAGTATAGCAAGAGAGTACATGACTGGAGGGGGTGAGGTGGCTCAGCGCAGCTCCCCTGCACGCAGTTGAGAGCCCTGCGTTCTTAGGCACTTCTGCTGTTTCCTTATCTGTAAGCCAGGGAAGGTTAAGGCCTTTCTCATACCCTTGCTGTAAAGACAAAAGGAAATAATATATATTATCATAACTATTATATCAGCACAAGTGCTGAGCACAGTGCTTGGCACGTGGTGCCTATCCAGATTGAGTCTGACAGGTAAGAGTCACGTGACAGGCCATAGGTGGAGCATGCGATGCCATTCCGCCAGAAGACCCACCCATGCATCATGGTTTCTTCTCCAGTGGGGGGCACTCTCTCTCCTTCCTTCATGTTCCCTCCTTAGAGAACACGTTTTAGGGGGCGGAATGGTGGCCCCCAAAATATATATCCTTAGAACTTGTGAATGTCACCTTATTTGAAAAAAAGAGAGACTTTGCAGATGCAATCGAATTATGAATCTTGAGATGAAATCATCCTAGATTACCTAGGCTGGTCCTAAATCCAATGACAAGTATCCTTATGAAAGATGGAAGAGATGACACACAGAGGAGAAGGCTGTGTAAAGATGGAGGCAGAGACTGAAGTGATGCAGCCACAAGCTGGGGAAGCCGGCAACCAGCAGAAGCTGGAAGAGGCAAAGAACAGATTCTTCCCAAGAGCCTCTAAAGAAAGCATGGCCCTGTGGACACTTCGATTTTAGACCTTTGGCTTTCAGACTGAAAGAATAAATGTCTGTTTTAGGCCATTAAGTTTGTGGTAACTTGTGACAGTAGCCACAGGAAACTAATACACATGCTAATGATGATAATCCCTAAACATGGATGACTCAAAATCTATAGCCATCAATCTCAATACTCTACAATTAAAACCATGATCGCGTCTATGGCCATATCACCCTGAATGTGCCCGATCTCGTCTGATCTTGGAAGCTAAGCAGGGTCGGGCCTGGTTAGTACTTGGATGGGAGACCAGGTGCTGTAGGCGTAAGTAAACAAACATACAAAGAAACAAAAAATAAAACCGTGATCCCCTCCCCAAAGCAGGGGGTGCATGCCTTTACCAATTAAACAGACACTACCTTCACAGCAAGGCAAGGGCTGTCTCTCCCATTCACCATCTCAGTCCTCCATACTACCCTAGAGGAGCTGCTTCCTTTCTCTGCCTCCCACAGTCCCACATCCAAGCTCTGAGTTTGCCTGTTCACAACATATGCACATCTGGATCTCGCTACCCCCTACGTGGCAGGAGGGCCTCTTCCTCTTCCCATCTCGTCTCCCCATGGCATCCACACCTCCGACTGCCTCAGGGTACCCCCTGATTATTCCCAAGACCCTCAAGCTCTATGCCACTCACATTTGCTAATTCCAATCTTTCCTTTCTTCGGGGCGCACTCAACTCCTATCTCCTCTATCCAAGGATGCTATCTTTGGATACTCAATATTTACCATCTTTAAGTCTACAAACAGGAGCTTGATTTTTGACTTTTAAAATGTATTTTAAATACCCCTTTCTCAAGTTATTTGATTTCTGCAAGTCCTGTCTCCCTAGCCTAATCGTTTGCTTCTTGGGGCAGGAACCAAACCTTCTACCTCTTTTAAATATTTCAAAGCATGAAGAGTGTTGTAGGCCAACACCTCCCTTGACCTAAAACACAGGGCACCTAATGTCCCTACTTCTTTGGCAAGGCATCTGTGATGGAGGAAATATTTCAGAAACAAGGATCAATCTGTTGGTTCCCTAGGAGCTGGTTCTCAGAAAAATCTGACTCAAGGTTTAGTCCCTTAGAGAAATGCCTATTTGTCCTGCTGATTCAAAAAGTCTGTCACCTATTTTATATATATTATAGTATTTTCCTATATCCCACTATTAGGGAAGATACTACATTATTCCCAAAGAATGAGAGTGTTAGAGAGACATATCTTCTATCTATCCCATCTACCCAAATTATCTTCTGTAGCACAATAATAGAATTTGGGATGAAAACTTAAGAATGGTGGGTAAAAAGAGATGCAATATCAACTAATGATACTGTTTGTTAAAAGCCCTCAATCTAGGAAGCAAAGGAGAATATTTCTGACAGACCCGCAGATAAATAGAGGGTAAAGGAATCCCCATTTAGACTAGGCTGAGGAAGGCTAAACAGTTTTGGCAATTTGTATAATAATGGAATTATAATACTATTATGAGTCATTAGGCAAGTGTATTACCAATGCAATATCTTTTAATCGTCATCGCAACCAGTGAGGTAGGTATAATCATTATCCCCATTTTCAAGGTGATAAAACTGAGGTCAGGAGAGGTTAATAATGTGCTCAAATTCTGCAGTTAGTTAACACTCAGGGAATCGGCCTGGGACTCCCTGACTACAGCCTACGCCTTTCTACTGCCCTTGACCCTGAGGTGTATTTTCAGCAGTTTTAAACCTGAGGGTGTCTAGCCAACCCTGACAGATTGTAGGGGCTGGAAGGGGACACCTACCTTTTCTAACCAAATGTTTAATCCATGGCAGAGAAAGGGTTCCCAGCAGATCTCAGCTCTGACCCCTGAGCCCTGTGTTAAGGCCAAGTCAGACCTCTAAGAGGGAATTATCTTGTCCCAGCCCTTCCTTTCACTGATGATAAAACTAAGGGTAAAAATAAAGTGACTGGCTAAGGTCACCTAGATAGTTAGAAGTAAAATTCAATGGCCAGGGCTTTTTCATTTTCAATTTGGCCTTCTCTAGGCATAGAGTAGTCAGGACATAAGCAGGATCCTCAGGGTATCTTACAAGCGAATTGTAGATAATAGTGTCACCTTTGCTGTACACTATATTTACTGAGGTCTCATTTCAAGTCCAGGATCTTGCTAGGGCAAAGGGAGAGACAATAAAAAATCAGAATATTGGTCCCTCCCCTCATGATTTAAAAAAACAAAGTGACTGGGTTACAAAGGGTTACAAATTCATGCATGCACACACGCACCCATTGTTCACCGCACTTTCATCAAGCCCCACCTAGGTGCCAGGGAATATTTAAGTTCCACAGCAAATGGAATATTAAACCCATTGCCACCATCTTGTTCTTCTCTGCCCAACTATCTAATTAAGTTACTCCAAATTAATGACCCGTCCTAGGTACAATTTCCTGATGTATCTAGGAACGGTCTGTGTGATCCAACAGGGCAGATTAAGAGCCAAAAGAATCAAAATATTCCATTTAGAATATTTATCTGAGTAAATACTAACCAGAAAAACAACAGTGACAAAAATAATAATAATGAAATAGTAACCAGAGTATCTCTGGGCTATGATAAATTGGAGCAGTCCGCGGTCCTCTCTGAGCCTAACCATCCCCTGCGCGGCAGCCTTCAGAGATGCCTCTCCGTGACAGGAGACTAGAGGAGCTAAAGGAGGCTGCTCCTTGTGTCCAGAAAATCAGTCCACGATGGCCCTAAACCCTGTATCACCGAGGAGCTATCACCCCCTCTGAGCACACCACCAAGTCTGCACACCTGTGTCTTTGCCCCTTCCTCATCTTGAGCTTCATTTTAATTTAATTTACCTGTGAGAAAATTGCTCATGCCTGTATTGAGGGGAGGAGGGAATATACACATTTTGGTGTGTACCGGACCCGCATCCCTGCTGGTTAATCCATGTGATGTCCCTGAACTTCCTTTCATAACAAAATAAGTTTTCTTTTATAAAGCTCTTATTGTGTTTTAGGCACTCTGCTTACATTAATTCATTTGATCCCCCCAATAATCTCATGAGGCAGGTGTTTTTTTTTTTTTGGTCTCCTTTGTACAGATGAGGCAAATTAGTCAGAGAGAAATTAAATAACTTGTTCAAAGTCATACAACTAATATGTGGCTTGACCAGGATTTGAATCTAGGTAGCCTGCCTCCAGTGTTGCTGTACTGCCTCATGGGCCAATCATTTTCTATTGCCCATAAAATTCTTCTCAAGTTCAGCTCTGGCTGAACGAAGCTTTCCACTTGTGCTCAGAGGCTGTGCCCTCTTCAGCCCTCATTTCAGGAGGAAGTAAATGGAGGGGAAAAGAAGAGAA